TTGCGTAAAATTGTATTTTTCGTGTTTATTCAATTTTATACACCTTCTCGCTCGAAAAAACGTCTTTTAGAAGTAAAGGACATGCTATGTATGCCATTGCGACCAAGAATTTCCAACCAAAATTTCAGTTCAGCATCCCTTTAAGGGGAGACGCGGGTCTTAAAATGGTCAAAAAACGCGAAATTTCACGTTTTTCAAAATTCACATATTTGGATTAATTGTAGTCTAAGGTACCTGCCTGCAAAGTTTCAATGTCGAAATCAATGTCTAAACATGAAAAAAAATGATATTTACGATGTCCCCGCAGAGCCCTAACACAGCGAGTTCAATAAAAACAAGTGGAACTTCGCGCCCCGCGCGTTTCGCGATCGCTCGTCGGATCGCGGCCATCTTGGTCTTGTTGGAAAGCCGCTTATTTTCCCCACGTCCCCATGCCATTCGTTATCGCGACAACATCGGGGAACGTCCGCATTCCGCGGGTTTCGAAAGCCCCAATTGCGATCTCTCATTGGCCTGCTAGCAAGGTGCCCGTACGTCAGAGCACGCACGGCGCCTAGCGCCCCTGCTATTGGCCTAAACGCGCCCCTCCGCTCTTTTTCTCCTTTCCTCCTTTCCGTTCCCGCGCTGGCGAGAGGTGCGTCGTCTGCTCCTGGGCTCGTCTCCGCCCGTCTCCTTAGGCCTGTCTGCTTTGTTTCCTCCGTGGTCGAGCGCACGTTTTAGTTCCCGTTTGCGCGCTTGCGTTGAATATTGTTGGTTCGTTTTCCTACGAAGTCGCGCGTGTTCTGTTTTGTTTCGCTTCGAGTTCTCGAGATGCCGGACGACGCTCGGTTGAAATCGAGCACGCGGCAAGCGTTCGGAAGGAAGAGGAAGCGACCGTGGAACAAGAAGCCGAAGCTGTCTGCTGCAAGTGCGCCACCGCGATCGGCACCGCCGGATGCCTTGGATCTTCCGGAAACATCAGCCGGAGACATCGCGACTCCATGCAGCAGCGGCAGTTTGTCGAGCTTTGCGAGCGCGGTTCGTGTCGACACCGCATACTACTCCACGGCCGAGCAGGCGCAACGAGTCGCACGATCGGACGAATGCAAGCGTGCGCTATCGGAAAAGTCGGCGACCCGGCGCAAATTCGACCTTCTCGGCGTCACCACAGGAGGCCAGACGCGCGACGCTGGGACACAGTTCATTGTAGTGGACATAAAAGCTCTCAAAGCATGGAGAAGGACAATCCGCATAAGGCCAACACTGCCCACCAGAGCAGCAGCAATGCAAAGCAGAGGTTCTCCAGGCAACACCAAACTGGAACAGCTGGGGACTACAGTCCTGGACAGCTGTGAGGGGCTCCCCTTTCAAGTGCTACACGAACAAAGGCCCTTTTCAGGGCCAAACAAAATCTGCTTTCGGAACGTGCAACCCTTGGTGCTTCCTCCCGTTGTCCCTTATAGTCTACTCATTCTTTTATAACGTTATTTCACATTGCAGACATTATTTCTCAGTTTTATATTATTTCTAAAGGTTCTTGTGAACGGATTGCAGAATTTTTCATCTCAATTTGTTCAGATAGAACTACGCTTCATATTGCTGAACATTATTGCATGGGATATCTTACTCAATTTTATGCAATGAGTGTCAAAACTTCAACTGCAATTTTCTCAGCTTCGCATTTTTTGTCTACATGCCTAGCCTTACGGTTGTTTTCATGAGATTATTCTTCGAGGATTTCTATAAACTTTATACCGTTGAATTCAGAAAGAAGTGAACTGCAGGGTGATGCTATTTTTGTATGACAGTATGGGCCCGAAATTTTATTATTAGTGATAATGTGACCTCGTTAAGCTTTGTAAATAGTGTACTTGACCTAATTAGACTAGTTTTATACAATGATCTATCTTTACAAAAATATAAATAGCATCATCTTGCATGACAGGTCTTTAGCTACAAATCCATATCACTTATGCAAAAAAATTCGTATTAGAAAGTTCCTTAATGAGTCGTAAGAAATGACCTAATTAGGCTTCATTATTTTCTTCGTAACTCAAAAAGTAATTGAGATATTGCAGAACTAATTGTATATTTGAAAAGAGGAAGCCAAAACACATATACACACTAATTTTCATTATAATCCATTAATAAACAAAAAAGTCGATTTTAGAACCAGTGTCTTGCCTTAAGGTCTGTTTACACGATGCACTTTTTAGGCGCGCAACAGTTTCGCGACACTTAAGTTTTGCGAAATGTGCTCGTTCACACGTACCGCTTCACGTGCAACAACAACGTACACCGATGCACCGTTTTGAGTGAGCTCCGAATCAGATCGCTATTTATCTGGGGACCTGCTTTGCGCATTTTACGCAGTCAAGTCACTTTAATTTTTTTTCTCACATACTGCACTACTTGGAGCGATCTCGCGTGTGCGCTAAGCCGATTGAGGCGGCAACCTGTATGTGCAGGACATGTGCCGGCGCCAAGCCCGTGCACAGCCAATTCATTGCCAAAGCTCCTATCAATGCACATGGTATTCATAGAAATGCTAAGTGCCCAATCTGGTTACTTCTCGGCGCCCATGTCTGCCCCGAGTTTACTGTGCCAACTGTTTTTGAGAGCGCACATGGTTTCATGTTCGCTTGTAAACAAAGCAAAGTTGGTTTCAGTTTACTCGATGGTCTCTTATTTAGCGGTATCGTCGCGACAACAACGCTATGAGCACTATTCTAATCTCGCCAACTCCCGCTAATTGTCTTCGTCCATCGCTGGATTTTTTTTCCGATATGCTACTCCCTTTTCCTTCAGTGGAGCTTGACGTGCTTGCGGAAGCGCCGGCAGTATCCATTGTTCGGGGTTTCGGTTTTCTTCGGATTTGGCTCCGCTACAACACCGGCAGGGAAGTGGTCTTCTCAAACAGCTCGCTCCCCCCTCAAAGGCCACGTGAGAGCGTTTCTGAGCGGCCATTGGCGGCGCCCTCAGAGTGATTGACAGGATTCGGCAAAGTTTCAGCAAAAGCTCGCTCTAGAAGCGAGGTGTGCGCGCAACTTTTTTTAGATGCGCGCGTCCTTTTCGGACTTGTTCAGACGGCGCAAACATTTCACAAAACTACATTTCGCGACACTAGATGCGCGAGAAAAACGCATCGTGTGAATGGGCCTTTATCGTCACTACCTGTCCAGGTTCCTAGACATGCATCGCGAAAAGAGCATTAGCAACATCCACTAGGTGCTCTTTGCTCATCGTATAATTCATTTTAAAATTCCTTTTTGTGTCTTTTTCAACAGGAGATTGGTGTGTCTGATGTGATACTGCTCCCTTAAACATGAGTAGGTTAAGAGATGAGTGCAAAAATTTCGTTGTAATATCCTTTTTAAAACTTACCTGGGTCTGTTTGCTGGGACCATTGAGGACCCGAGCTGAGACAGTCTCAGCCAACCAGCAGTCTTGGCGAAACAAGTCACTTGCTTGATGAGAAGTAAGACTGATTCTAAGACTGAAACTGGGATTTGTTTCTCAATCCTGGTCTCGAATCCTGAGACACCCCCCAGAGCTGGCTCACTGCCGGTCTCAAACCAAACAAAAATGTTTGGCATGGCCACTATGCAACAGGGATGCTCTTAGTTAAACATGAAATAATGCAAAAAAGACAGGGACACGAAGTATACAAGACAAGCAATAGCCCTGTTTGGTTTCCCGTTTTTCCTTCCATTTCCACCAATGCTACGACAGTCTCAGTTGGCTGTTGTTTATCTTTGACGTGCTGCAGTAACCAAGGTAGACAGTAATCTTTTTCCTCGTTTGTGTATGGAAAAAAATTTGGCTAATTATCGCAAACAACTTAAAAACAAACCACGTCAAATTCTAGTTTTACAAAAAAAAAAAAACAATTAAAATGTTTTTGTATGAAGTTTAACTCTTCAATGCACATGCAAGACAACAACAAAGGCAGCATATGATATAATAATAAAATGATTTCGGAAGGGTTACCACACTGGTAGGCTCTGAACACTTGTAAATATGCAGGTCGTTATATTCTTTCACTACATACATAACACCTTATGAGTCTGCCGTCACATGTAGCCCATTGTAAATACCATCCTCTGTTATAAAAGACTGAAGAGAACCGTTGCTCAAGCTTATTGGCTTGCTTGCTGCCTGGCAAAGTGCTTTTTCTGTCTATTGCTACAATTGAATGGCCATCATATAGCACCACGGGACATTGTAATTTCTGTCATTTGTCAGCACGATGGCAATCCTGACATTAAACAATTGTTTGTACTCTGTTAGGAATGGAACCAGCGAAGTCATTTCTCCTCTTTCCGATCTCAAACGCTCAAATGCTGGCTGTTCTGGCCTATATCATGCCAGTCATTCTGAACTACGCTTAGGGTCACACTCATAACATCTTCCATCCGCTTTTTTATTGGACAGGAGGTCCCAATGCATCGCTTCTACATCCGGTATTTCTCGAGTTTCCCCCCAGATTCGCCCTGTAGGCCTCCCTTACTCCATTCTAGGTATCTAACTCAAGTTAGGACTAGGATGGGACTCTGCCGATTTCGCTTTGATCAAGTGACTCAACCGGCACGGCGCGCTCTGTCTCAGCTGAAACTGCATTTAAGCTGAGACACGGATTGAGACTGCGCCGCGTTCTTTCTAACAAGTGACCCCCAATGTTGTGGAGGAAGAGAACTTGTCTATGCAGCGTAGGGCTGTGGATTGAACGGAGGAACACATGGATTCCCTCACTTTGAGAGTAGTGTGTAAAGGCAGTGTTGAAGCATGAGAGTAAACACAATCCTCAAAGTGGCACCGTGGTACCAAGTGAGGCGAACGCGGTGGCACAGTGTAGTTTCGCTTGTCCACAACTGTAGGTTTGTCTGCTTGAAAATACCGTGAGATAATTTTCAGTTTTTATTTACCGACTCCTTCGCAGGACATTCAGTTTTGCAATGACGGGGTGGCTGCTTCCGACCCACGTTTACAAGAGTCTCATTAATTGCCTTTGCTTTCTACAGGCCGAGCGAAGGTCCCAGCCTTGAAGAATATGCTGCCTCCCTTGCACGACGATGTCCTGGTCTCCCAGCACCCGAGAAGCTCTGCTCTGACCTACGTAACATGAAGAGCAGATGGAGCAAGTCCAAAATCAACCTTGATCTTCCATGTACCGATGGTCCTGCCAGGTGCTGCCACATGCTTGGACAACTGTCCCTCTGGAATGAGTTCCTCTGCGTCCTCTGCATGGAAGTCAAAGAAAAGGTGCCTGGAAAGCTTGGCGTGTTTCCTCTAGACACCGAGGAACCACAGCATTGCGACATTTCCAAAGACCATGCTTGCTTCCTCCTGCACTGGCTCATTACGCAGCACCGTTGTATCAGAACCCTCCGGCTCAACCGGAGTTTCTTCACTCTAAGCCACCAGCTCCTTTGTGACGCCCTTCGTGCAAGTTGTGGCATAGAAAGACTGGAGCTCCGTGGATCATTTGAGCTGACTGATTGTGCCAGCAAAGATCTCCTGACAGCAGTTGCAAGTCTGAGAAAACTGGAGGTGCTGGTTGCTGTGATGCCGTCAAAAGATGCGTTTGTCCTTCATGCACCTTCTCTTGGGGAGATGCAGTCTCTGACACGGCTTGAGATTCGCTGTGTCAAGATGACATGTGCAGAGGCAGAGTCATTGCTGCTTGGTTTGAAAGGCAACAGGACAATTTCACAACTTCATGTTGATAACTACTGCCTGCTGCCTGGAGATGGTAGGGCATTTGGAGAGTACCTGGAGCAGAATACCAGCTTAAAAGAATTGACCATGGAGTCTGTGTATGGCAATGAAGTCAACCCTGAGCCTTTTTTCGGAGCACTGAGAGTGAATAGGGTGCTTTGCAAGCTGGCACTGAATGCATTTAACCTTAATGTACCTCACTCTCAGTGTCTGGTGGAGGTTATGGGCGAGAACACCACACTGCATCGCCTGCACATTGAAGGCTTTTTTGATCCGCTGCCTTTTAGCAAAATGATTGAGCATAACACTGGAATCCTGGAACTTGTGCTAAAGCGTACCCCAATTGGAGATATCATTCCATTTGCAGACGCTGTTCGTCGAAACAAGACGATGGAAAAGCTAACACTGAGTTGGCATGGTGCAGTTGAGGGGGCAGAGCCTTCTAAGGGTACAGTTGTGTTTCTTGAAGCTTTAGCTAGCAATAGAACTCTTAAAACATTCACCATGGAATGTATGGGTGAGAAGGCAAAGCACTTCTATAAGGCTTTGGAGAGTACAAGAACGGTGGACAGGGTGTCATTCCGTGTAAGCCTTGGACATCCAGAGACACTTCAAGGTATTCTGAAGGAGAGCACGAAACTGTCGGTTCTTTGGTTGGACTTAGGTGGTTGTGACAACACTCAAGTCCTTTGTAGTGCCTTTGAGCACCTGGCTTCTTGCCATTGGCTCACTGAGATCGCCATCAGGAAGGATGAGTGCCTGAAAAAAGGCCCAGCCGTACACCTGGCAAGGCTTTTTTCTTCATCCAAGGTTCTGAAATCAGTCTATCTTCGTTTAAGTGCAACAGCGGCAGCCACAAGGTGCCTTCTCGAAGGGCTGTCCAAGAATAGGAGCATCACATCGTTGAAACTGAAGGACGTGAGGCTCAGATTGCCTGAATTTGACATGCTGAAAGCAATGCTCGATGTCAACACGACCCTGCACGCTTTAACCCTGTTAGGAGAGGGTTACACGACATGCAAGTTGATAATGTCAGAGCTGCCACATTGTCTCGTGAACAACCACTCCTTGGTTAGTGTGCATGTCGCCATGCTTGACGAGTTTCCTCGCGCCATGTTCAGGATACAAGACAGGATGCGGCTCAACTCCTCATTTCAGCTGCGTGCAGTGGAGTTTGTGATGGGCAATCATCAGAAAAGTTCTGCCATCGCATTTGAGCAGCTGTCTCACTGTGATGTGCTGGTGGAAAAGCTGCGATACCTGACCCACGAATCAGAGTGTGAGGCTAGGAAGAGAATAGCGGAAGCCAAGAGGTACCTTGCTGTAAACTTCATGGCTGTTGCCGGCATCGTCACGGAGGACGTTGTCTGTGCCATGCAGAGCGATGGTCAGACTCAGCTGGACCAGATTGGTCTAGATAATTGGCTCCGGATCCAGTCATACCTGAAAGTAAGCGACATACTGGATGCACCAGTTGGAGACATGGAGATGGTGTCTCCTTCGGGAGAGCGTGTCCTGAAGAGGAAGCTGGGAAACGAGGCTGATCTGATGTAGTTTCTTTATGTGGCTGTCTGTTAAGGCAGTCTATAGGTCCAGTTCTTCTTCAGTTGTACTGTGTTTGATCTGATTGATACTGTGATATTTGACCACTGCTGGAGTCAGATTGCTTTTTCTCGTTTTAGTAGGTTTTGTATCTTGCGATTTTAATTTTAACCAGGTAGTTAACCTGAATCTTGTTCTGAATGTTCTCATCCTTGAATAAATTTAAATTTTATCTGCTTTTGAACCTGTTTTTTTTTTTCCATCCCTTTCAGTCAATCAGATTTAAGGCTGGTTCATGCACTTGCGACTGCTTACGACTGGAGAGACTTTAAAACCGTTTGTGGTGCAGTCAGTTGTGTAATACACAACTGCTTAAATTTTATCATATTGCTTGTGCATTTGATAAAACTGTCAAACTACTAGTTGTATTGTCATAGATGAAAAAAAAAAAAGCTTTTTATGTTATTACAAACTGTGTAACGTAAACATTAAAGTTCTACAGTGGATAGCCAATTAATTACCTTGATAGAAAACAATGTCATCATCAATGGAGTTATTCAACATCTCCAGACGTGGCATCTGTCTTTGGTCCCTTTCTTTTTTTTTTTTTGTTTTCCTTAAAGATATTCCAGAGGGAATTTCATCAAATACCAAGTTGTATGCGGACAATTTTGGTTTGTATAAGGAAGTATCCAGCGACGACAATGTTGATAATCTACGGGGCAATCTGAGCCGAGTCTCGGTGTGGTCTGACAAATAGGATGCCTCAATCAATGTATCAAAATGTATTCAAGTTAGGTTTACCAAGAAACGTAAAATGGGGCCCTCTTGTCTTTTTCTTCTTTCCTACTGTATAACCATCCTTTGAAAAAAGTAGCGCTTCTGTGTTGCTAGGCTAGCGGTATGTTAATCTTTTTTTGTTATAATTTTAGAGATTTTATTTGGCCTGAAGAGACCCTCTATTTTTTCTATGTTCTCCCAATTTTAGACTACTCTTGTAATCTGGGAACCTGCTCGTGCAAAGCTGCAGAAATCGAAAAGACTTCAGGACCAGGCCGCGAGATACATTTCAAACAAATTTCTTTGACAGCATCTCCAAAATTAAGCTTATACTCGATGAAAACCCTTGGAACTGAGGCACAAATCCCCTCTAAAATTCCTGTATCTCCAATTTGGTAACATCTGTATAGATTATTCTAAACACGCCCTTGCTCCTCGTTACAGTTCACCTCCTTCCTCCCAGCTACTATGGAATCTCGTGGAAATCTCTTAGCTAGACTTTGGCTGCCACTCAGGCTTCTATGAGGTCCCAAGTGACTACGAATGAAACAAAAATAAAAACGTCATTCAATCAGCCTTTATTCAGGTCGTCAGAGTCATGGCCACGTCACGTTGAACCACGTGGTCTTGTGACGTTCGGGAGCGAGCGAGAAACAGGACACGCGACGCTGGCAGGTCGCTTCGCATGGCGTGGACGGCGATGGCCCGGGGGAGAGGGGGAAGGGGAGAAGACGAAAGAGGAGAAGGGGAGCGGAGAAACAGACCGATAAGCGCGCAGGGCAGCGTTAAGGTGATCACGTGAACGCCCGGTCAGCCAACACCGGGAGGAGAAACTCATGACGTCATCGTTCAATTTCGCTCTGAGGAGAAACAAACAAAACGTGAGAATGACGTAGTCATGCCTCTGACGTAGTGGCTCAATGTCGGCTGCTCCAACTCCGTGGCATTCACTGCGCTGATGATTGCGCCTCGCGCCGCACGCTAGAGTTGGCAGATTTCGGCGACTTGGCTCGCTTGAAGGTTTGCTGACCAGTTTATTAAATATATAAACGGAATTAGATCGTAATATTTGACATGGGGTCTTCCTATATGATACTGAAGAGGGCTACATAGTTTTCTAAATATCAAAAATGAAGCGGAGTTGCCCTTCAAAGGGGTACGGAAACAAAAATTGAAATATTCCAATCTCGTTTGGAAATGAGTCGAGCATGACGGATAATCGAAAGAGCTCTCCGCTGGTCATGTAAGTCTTCTTTCGAAAGGACTTGATTTCGCTCTAGCCCCACGTGTAGTTCCCAAAAGAGACTTTATAATTGAAATTGAGGAGGCACTTCGTCACCTACAGGATACGACCGGGATCAATCTGGCCCGCAGCCGCATATCGACTATGCTTAATAATGCTAAAGTAACGCCATTGAATCTGAGCAAGGTGGAGCAGTCGGCACTACGGGATCTTAAATCGGATCAATCAATTATTATTCTTACAGCTGACAAGGGGAAAGGCACTGTTATCCTCGATAAAGAAAGTTACTATGAAAAAATGCAGGTAATTCTTGACGACACAGCGCAGTTTGTGACGTTACCCCGGGACCCCACTCCTAAATCTGAGAGATCCCTTGTTGATCACCTCCGCGATCTAAAAAAGAAGAAACGCCTAGACGATGCCATGTACCGTCGTCTTTTTTCTTCTGACGGGTCTACACCTAATTAAATTGCACGGTCTCCCCAAAATTCACAAGCCCGAGTGCCCGTTGCGTTCTATTGTTTCATTTATTGGGTCTCCGACGTACAATCTGTCAAAATATCTGGTCGAACTCATCACTCCGGTCACAGGTAAAAATGGTTTAACAGTACGGAATTCCCAAGAATTCGTGGGCCTAGTTCGGGATCACGTCCTAGACGAAGACGACATAATGGTTTCATTTGATGTTGTGTCCTTGTTCACGAATATCCCCACCTCTCGGGCGGTTGAGATAGCCGAAACACGCCTACGTAGGGATGACAGCCTCCCATCACGCACATCGTTAACGGTGGATGATATTGTAATTTTGCTGCGTTTTTGTCTTAAACAATCGCATTTTACGTTTCGCGGACAAATTTATCACCAAATTGAAGGATGTCCAATGGGTAGCCCAATTTCTGTTACAATGGCAAATCTGGTTATGGAATATGTGGAGGAAACTGTCCTTGAACAGAGTATGCTCCCGATAGGGTTTTACAAACGTTATGTGGACGACACTTTTGTAATTTTAAAAAAGGACCATGTTGCTGACTTTCATTTAGCTTTAAACAACGTTGAATCATCAATCCAATTCACACATGAGGTTGAACAGAACGGTGCACTGCCTTTTCTGGATGTTAATGTGTTCCGAAATAGTAACGGTCGCTTAGATACAACAGTGTACCGCAAAGCTTGCGATACAGGCAACCTTTTAAACTTTAACTCGCACCATTCTGTCGAACATAAAAGGGCCGTCGTAAAAACCTTACTACATCGGTCCGAACGCATTTCTTCTAATCCTCAAGTGCGCGCTTCTGAGGATGCTGTTATTGTTGACCTGTTGATGAAGCGGAATTATCCGAAACGTTTTATTGATAACACGCGCAAACAGATGGGGCAAAGAAGAAGTCAGGATAATGGACGACTTAGGACAGGGCAAGTAACAATACCCTACTTGAGAGTTGTTTCTGAGTCTATTCGCAGGGCCCTCGCCCCTTTGAATATCCGCACTGCTTTCAAACCCCATCGTAAACTACGCGACCTCATTTCTAAACCTAAAGATGACACCCCCCCCAGAGTCCCAGTGCGGTGTTGTGTATAAAGTGGAGTGTCTAAACTTTGACGCATCTTACATTGGGGAGACAGGCCGGAAGCGCTGCACTCGCTTAAACGAACACAAAAGGGACGTGGCGAAGGCCACGCATGCGACAAGAGCGAAGACGGAACTCGTAGACCATTGTTGGACTAAGGGTCACTGTTTCGACTTTGAGAATGCGTCCACTCTGGCGCGCGAACAAAGGTGGGGTCCACGCAGGTTCGTGGAATCATGGTTCATCCGAGGTGACTCATCAGCTTGCAATTCCAACCGCGGCCCCCTCCCCGATGTGTACGCGGACTTGCTTAAATAGGACTGTTGAAGTTTTTTTCCCTCATTCCTGCTTGTAGGTTTCACTGACGATGTTTCCCGGATGGGAGACGAAACGTTTGATTAAATTGTTAATCTTGTTGAGTAAAGTCGGAGCAATTTTTTTGATCATTATGATTCCCGGCTTTTGGAATATTTTTGCATATCTGAGAAAGTTAGACGTGTGAATGTTCCAACGACCACGTAGCTTCCACTGGACTGTCGGCTTGGGGATGAACGGCTTCTAGGCTATAGACTCCGTGCGACGCGACTGGCGCGCCGCCGCGCGGCCGGTACCGAAGGTAGGCAGTTAGAACCCCAGAAGAAACGAAACCGAAACCGCGCCGCGTACGTTGGTGCGCACTGAAGTCGGAGCGGTGCGGTTGCGCTGGGTTCACAGCATGAAGTGCTGCCTGTGCTGCGTCATTAAGTGCTTCAATAGTTATGCGTCGTATCTTGTGAGGACAAAGTATCCCAGTTTTTCACGTTGCATGCCGATGTTTTGTGGGACAGCGACAACGATGGACCCGTGCCGTACGACGCGAGAAATTTGGTCTCCCGATCATGTCTGCCACTGTGTCCGCACGGCTGACATATTCTACACTGCCGCTTTGCGCTCTGCGTTTGTTTTCGTACCAGTAAGGCCCGTGTCCCACTAGAGCGACACACAGAAACAAAAGACAACGACAAGCCTCAAACCAGAGTCTTTCGCAATTGGAGAGGCTTTGTAGAATAAAGGAGGCTATGCTCAAACACGAGCATCATGCACGCGAGGGTGGCTTTGGCAGGCTTGCAATCGCTCGTGCTTACTTCACGAGCACCGAACGACTAAACACCTGCCAAAGGTACCATCACGAGCATGCTGCATGGGTTTGAGGCTTGTCGCTGTCTTTTGTCTCTGTCTGTCGCTCTAGTGGGACACGGGCATAACGCTTACATGTGTTAGCGCCAATAGGAGGAACTAAATTGCCATCCCACACTCCCGGGCATGCAGTGCCGACTTGGTTGGAGGAATGCCCTCTAAAGAAGCTTCGTCCCCATCGTACGTGTCGATGATATTTCCGGACAAGTATGACACGCAATCTGTACTCTATGAAGAAAGATTCGAACGGTAAAAAAAAAGTGACAGATATGAATCTAAAGACAACAACAATGAAACTCGGAATCACTGAAGACTCGACGTTTGAGTATGGAAGTTTTATGTGGTGTGCTTTCTTTCTTGATCAGCCTCCTTTTGGATGAGGAAATGCTGACACCTCGAGTTCTGTAGACAACAATCTTTTTTTCTCGGCTTTAGAGCCACATATCGCAAAGTGGTTCGAACTGGAAGTACCGTCCA